TCTGCAAAAGGCTCCAAAATAGGCCCGAACGCACTATAAAACGCGCGAACAACTCAGAGCAACAATCATAATGACGTGTACCCTCAAATCGGGATGCAAGCGGACTTTAGTCAAAATTCGCGCGAAACCTCAGTTTCAGTAGGGCGAAGTGGAGAAAATGACACCGTCACAGACGCGACCGTTACCTAGTAGTAGTAGTAGTAGTAGTAGTAGTAGAGTAGTAGTAGTAGTAGTAGTTGGCCCACAGAACATAGAACACCGTGAAGCGCGTTGGCAAAAGGTTGAAGGGCCTAGGAGTTAACATGACTTTAGATGGAGAGTTGGGCTGGGGGGGGAGAGGATTCCTTCATGTTGGCCCATACACGCACGTGGATGCAGTGACATGCTGCGTGTACGGTGATTTCGTCTAGATTTCAGAGAGGCAGCGTGAAATATCATGTTTGTTTGTTCCCTCAGAGTGACTTGCTGGGACAGCTTTTTAGCTGAGAGTTGGTCGGCGGATGTGCGGCAACCAGGCAACATGTGCTGGGTTAAACACGATCGGGCACAGCTAAGCAGCTTACAAGTAGTTTTGAAGAGCACAAACCAATAGCATGTTCATGCCGGCCCCCTGATCCGTTGAGGGGAATCGATGGGTAGATGTCTGGTCGGGTAGGCGGGAAGAGGAACAAAAAACCAGCTCTTGACCCGTGCAAAGCATGAGGCACGACTATCGTGTTCTAGCCACGCCACAAAATTACAGCACCGACTGAATGGACGCAAAATCGTGCGAGCCCCTACTTGCAAGAGAAAATAGCACGTCCTGGGCCTGTTTATTTCTTGGCCCAGCGGAGCATGCACCATATGCACATCGCCTGTCCCTGTCGACACTAACTGCTCCAAAACAACGACAGAGCATGTCGGGAAATGATAGCCTGGTACCCGTGAAGGAAACGTAGGCCAGCGCACACGACGTCGTCTCAACACCAAAACTCCAGACGCATGCTGAACCTGACATTAGGATGGAGCACAAACGATGTTCCCACAGAGGTGTCATCGAAAGATCGAAAGAGGTCTATGTGTCGCGGGAAAGTCAATCACTTGCTCGCCTGCTTGCACTGCACAAGTTGAACTGCTGCACTTGACATTCCAGCACTGCTACTTCCACAGTCTGGCCATGCTCCCGTCGCTGTCTAGCACTGTGCGTACATGCACAGGCAGGGCAAATATTTTGGAGTTGTACAGCCGTGGTTGACAATTCACCAACGAGCCAAAAGCTGGGAATCCGGCGCTGCTGCACCATCACCTGGCAAATGCTGCTGAAAATGATAAGTTTTCGCGAGTCAACCAGCAGGACGAACGAAGAACTCTTCACAAAGCATACAATCAGCTAACCCAACTGGTAGTTGTAGAGAAGACTTTTCTGAGTGGCTGATACTTCTCGTGGGCCATCCAGTCTTCTATAGGGGTCTGACCGCCAAATTCAGATAAGGACCAAACTCGAAGCTGCCGCTGCAGCCAGGACTGTGATGCTTGTGATGCTTGCCACAAGTACACTGGCGCTCCGGGGTGAAGCACATTGTCACAGAGAATATCTGCTCCAGGAGACAAAGACATGCTGTTCTCCAAGAGTTGCAATTCTGAATGGAAGCGAGTTCCTCTGTGGTCCATGAACACGAGACCAGCAGCACAGCTGCCAAAGTCCTCCAGTACCCTGGGCAGAAGATCCTTAACCTGTCCTGTGCAAACCTCTGCAACTTGAGCACGTTCCCCCAGGTTTAGCATGTGGCGCGAAACGCATACATGTAACGGATCAACTTCCAGGCTTTGCACAGACAACCTTGGAGCCATTGCGGGCGCCATGCCAGATAGCCTGATTGTGGAGAACCCCACGTATGAACCAAACTCAAGTCGAACACCGCCTCTGGCTTCTGCAGCCTGATCCAGAACGCAATCCATCAGCATGCCCTTTCCGTCACCAGCCACTTTGAGCCAGTAGTTTGCTTTCAGGTTGGAAAATTCCACGATGGCCGAAAGCACATCCTGTCTTGCCCTAGGGCCGCAAGTAACACGTGATTCAACGAACTGCACTAGCATAGAGAGCTTGTGCTGAGCGTGGCCACCATGCCTCGCAACCTGAGCGCCAGGGAGATCAGTAGCCACACGCTGCCTATCGATGTAAGCGTCCGGGTTGAAGCAATGCTCGGTGCTGCCAGCCACAATCTCAAGCATATCCCGCCTTAAGGGTGCTGCTGAAGTGATGAGTTTCCAAAGGCGGCACTCCAGCGATGCTTCCCGGACAGCTTCGCAGGGAGCCAGCATCACCCCGATGTCGAGCACATCCGTCGACGGATCACAGGCGACCCACCGCTCGAACGTCCCCAGCAATTCCGACCAACTGCAACCGCGAGACAGAGACCAAAGGAGTGCATGCATATCTCCAAATCTCAGACTCCGAACACATGCAGAACTCGCACCCTGCATTGCATGCATTAGCAAGTCATGCCACGCAAACATCTCGCCAGGTCCCTGCACCGCATTTGTAAGGTGCTGAGGGGGGAGTGCCCGATGTTTACAACTAGCGCTAAGCGCAATCGCATCCAGCAAGGATGGATCGTGTACACGCAGCATAGCATGTCTTCATGCTGTGTTAGATGACTCCTGCGAGCCGGACTCTCCTATTCTATCCTAAACCACACAAGATGGCACATCCGACACCGCTGCTCTTTGCAGCTGCAGTCTACCGAAACACCAAGCCAAGATTGCAGGATTGAATGGCTTGTGCTCGGTGGCGTGCACTGCCCACATCTCTGCAATCATGCACATTGAGGATTCCTCCACAGTGTCTGAGGTTGCGTGAGTTTGGGCCATGTTCGCAACTTCCTGTGGAATGAACATGCCACGTTGACCCAGAGCTGCCACTGCAGTCATTTTCATGCCTGACTCGTGCAGAAAGAGTAAGGTACCGAGTTCTCAAGCTATGTTGGACAAATTCTGTGCGCTGAGGCTCGAAAGCCGCCTTGAAGCAGCTCGCTGGGTGGACTCCGAGGACACCTCCCCTTTGAAGCTCAGAGTTGCTACGTCTCGCCCTGTGTTGGAAGGGTTCTGCGCATCGAGCTGCTCAATCTTCTGCTCCCCGGTTCCAATCATAACTCTCGATAGGGACACTTCCAGCATGCTCATGCTAGCAGGTTCCTACAATGTATTTGCTGTGGCTTGTGGTTGAAATTGGTGGGCTGTGCGTCGGGCTGCCCCCTCTGGCGCCTTCAATGACGGAGAGCGTACTGCACTCAACTTGCCGAAAGACTGAGCAATGGTGGAGGTGTCCTGCGGCTGTAAATGTCCAGCTTGGAGAGAACCAGTGCTTGCTGGGGATTCCGAGGGCAATTTGTCGAGCACCTTCATCTGTGCAAGTTCTCGCAATGTGCTGGAGATTGCCTGGGGGTCGGATTCCGGCAGCATTGTCACCAACGAAGGGAAATCTTCAACAAGGCGCCAGCACAGGAACTATAGTTTGCTGGGAGACTGCATACTGTTCGAAGTACCCTGCGGGGAAGGTTCCTTTACCTAAGCTGCTGCTCGAGATCCTGGTAAGGCTAGAGACGGCGCATGCTGCCAGCTTGAGGTACCTGATGTCTGAAGAGAGTTGGCAGCATGTTGCGAATGCCAGGTCAAGCTCGCTGTCACAGAGTGAACTGCCGGAGCTTCCAGCGGAGACTATCCAACTGCCCTCACAACTGTTGAGGCTCATGAAGTGTTGGCAACATGTTGCGAGCCAGCGTGTCTCACTTTGTTGCACAACTCGCGCCCAATCTAGCTAGTGGATGACAAGCCCTCGTAGGCCAGACGTGCTGAGGTTTGCAGTGAATTCGTAAGGTGCTGCGGAAAGGACTCCGGCAAACGCTTTGCAGAGGCAGTCGAAATAGAGGCTAGCAGTGCCGCGCTCCTCAATCTCAGCTTTCTGGGCGCTTGTCCCAAGTTGGAGAAGTTCTGTGGCTGGGAAGAATCAATCTGATGCATGGCGCGTTAAGCGGCTGCATCCGAGATTGGCCCGTCTTTCGCTTACATCTTGGCGAAATACCATCCAGTCTTGGCAAGATACTGAGCACTGAGTCTGCAGACCTAAGCGCTGCACATCCCAACTTTGGAATCATGGTAACTTTGCAAGTACAAGAAACAAAGGATATGGCCAGCAGATCCAAATAGATCCAAGCTGCTAGCCAATCCGCTGCCTTCATGTTCCGTGCAGCATGGACCAGACATGATGCGCTTCATCGCTCCGGCAAATCGAAAGCCATTGCCAAAAGTCCATGCCAGTTGCACGACCAGCTCGAAACTTTAAAAGCAATCAGACTGTAATGTTCAAGAGGCTTCTAGAACCCTCCGGCCACAGATCACCTTTCAAAAGTCGATACTTTCAGGCCAATTCACCATGGTTGATGGGGCACCAGCACTTCAGATTAGAGAGTTTCGGACAGGTTGCGTGCTAAATCGGTCTGCGTACTGCTTGAGAAGGTGCAACTTGCGATTTCACCCAGTAAGGTGTCACGTAAAATCTGCTGCAACCACTCGAGTCTCCCCATGAATTCGACATACGACCATCCCCCGCCTGGATCTGCAGCCTTGTTCAACATCTTTGCGACCAACTCCTGCTCATGTTAGGCTGGACAGCACTCGAAAGCAGTCGAGGCTGACATGGCTGGCTGACCTCCATGTGCTTGGGATCGCCGGTCAGCATCCTGACAGCAGCAAATCGTAAATCAAGGAGCCGGTATGGCTTCCTCTTCAAGCTCTGGCATTAAAATGGGCGAAAGCATCGCTACTGCTTTGTTCAATAAGATGGGGAGGGCGGCACGTCAACTCATGGCACGGAATCCATTTTATGCAAGGGGGTACCTCCACCCATCTCATGAGATAATCTGAAGGGAGATTGGCTTAGTGTAAGCTAGGTTTTGCCACGATTCATGCCAATCTTCAGGGAGCAAGCCCATCATCCATCTGTATGACCAGCTGGGTTTCCTCCAATTCCAAGAAATTTTGCCAAGTGCGGCAGTGGGTGCAACAGCCATAGACATCCCGTGACCAATGTCGCTGGCGCTTCAAGATGATGCGTGCGAAAGACGAGGCCTCTGGAGGTCCTCATGCGCCATGCCTTCCTCAACCAAGGCGCGACTGATTTGCAACGCGAACCAACCAGCTGCATACTGACCGGTATGGCCTTGGTCATGAAGTTGACGAAATCTTCTGCACCTTGCAAGTGCCCATCCCAGAAGCAACAGTATCCCAGCTCACTGGGCCGCAGACTTGAAATTTTCTCCAAGCTCTCCTGCCAGTTCTGGCAGGTTTGCGAGCCAGTCGCCTTGATTAATCCGCTAGAAATTCGTGTGATAGCCTGAAATCCAATTGTTTCAATTCTCCATGGCGACTCCAGGGGCGAAGGCTCATTTTGGAACACTGATTGGTGTGATTTCGGAAGACAAACTGAAACTGCGTCATTTTGGAACACAGATTGCCTTCATTTTGAAACACAAGGACGCCGACGGCGCATTTAAATCACAACGATCTCATGTTACGTCCATGTTCACACCACGACCCAAAGTTCACCTGTTGGCTCGGGCGAGGGTTCGTCCCATTACTCCAAGGCTCTTCCCATTTATCCAAGGGTTCGAGGAGGCCTGATCTTAATCTTTTCGGTCGCCCCGGTAGTCCCGGGTTTGTCCAATTACTCACGGCTCGCCCCATCTGTCCATGGGCTTGAAGGATCCGGATCTTCTTTTTCAATCGCCCCCTTAGCCCAGGGTTCGTCCCGCTAATCCAAAGCTCGCCCCATTTGCCCGGGGCTTTGAGGAACCCTGATTTGCCTGATTTTAATCTATAATGGCCGCCCCATGAGTCCAGCGTTCGCTGCGCGGAGCGGCCTCTTACTCGAGTCATGCGTGAGCTGGATCAAAGGTGAGAGCGAACTGAGGGCACTCATGACCAAAGCATTCCTTCACTTGTACAGCGAACCCTTGACACAACTTAAAGGGATAAACTTGGGCGGCTTTAGTCCGAAAGACCCAGCAACACTTAAGTTTACCCCGCACCTTACTTACCCTTCAGAGCAACAACTGAGCAACATGTCGGTGACCTCCAGGACAGCGATGGCTGAGCTTTTCCAGGGAGGGCAACGAGCAGAGCAAAGCAGTAGGCTTAAGGTGCAGCGATCCAAAGAAACACTGATCCGAGCATATACTGAACAGGTTTGCCTAAGAATCTGCAGATACTTGATGGAGGGCATCTGCCAGATAAGGCTGATCTCTGGGTTCTCGGGCCGAGAAATCGCCGCGCTGGTTCATCACTGTGAGGGCAGCCTCGAGCAGTCTGTGAGTATGTTCCCGAGCGTTGCTTGGCCCCATTCGTGAACACGCAGAAAGGTTGGGGAGCCCGAGAATGTGCTTCTTTGAGCGCAGCGGTCGCGGACCTTTAATCTGCACCGAGCGGGCCATGCTGTAAGACGAGCAAGGGGTTCCCAAGCGCAAGAACCGAACGGCTCCTGAGAACTGAGGAGACGAAGGTCCAGACGTCGACGTCCAGAATGTCGGAGGGCTCCTGAACAAGGCCTTCTGCGACCACATCGATCGGTCGCAGGCAAGGCACGCCGCTCATCACGCCGGCTGTTCCGAGAAGATCTCCAAGAAGAACGGTCCCCTGGCAGTGACCTGAGCAGCATCACGAAGAACGTCAGACCGCCTCTTCCAAGGGAAGAGAGCATCTCCCAAAGCCGGCGTACTCACAGCCCGATCAGGCTGGTCACTAGCAGGCTCGGCAGAAGCTGCTGGTGGCTGCCCGGCTGGCCCCCCCTCACTCGGGCGAACGTCCGAGCAGGGGTCGGGCGTTCAATGATTGCCGTGCCATGGATGAGCCTGCCCACACTGTACGCAAACATGCTGTTTGTTGCACTTGTCATTGAATCTGCACCCAAGCGAACTGTTGTAGAAGGGGCCCCGCTTCTTGCCATCATCGTAGGAGAAAGACACGGTGGCCTGCCACTCCTTGTCAGTCACCTTGGTGTTGCGATCGCCACCCGACTTAGGTCGGGGTGGAATCACTTTCATTACACTCTTGGGTCGCCTTGAGGCCTTTTGTCTCACGCGGCGGTTCTTCGGAGCTCGCTTGGTAGAGGTTTTGGCATGGGCGACCTAGCCCTTTTTGGTGGAATGGAGGGAGCCGTCACCGAAGCCTGGCGGTACTTTTCCAGCTCGGCACTCGAGCGAGCGTCGTTTGTCGGAGAAAGTCGGAAACAGATGAGCTTGTCTGCGGATAATAGAAGGGAGAGCCCCCTGTTCTTGCGCCGCCACTCCTCGAGTTGGGACAGGTGCTTCAGGGGGCCCGCTGTGAACGTGAAGTCGCTAGTGTTGAGTGACTCGAGAGCCACGAAGAAGGCACGCATGCGATCCATCACGTCAGACTCCGAAGCGACGTTGATCTTGGTGTCGCGTCGAACAACGCGAAGCAAGTCCTCTGAAGTCTCGCTGAACCCAGACGTCTGCACTATATTATTCTGTCCGAACGGGATCGCATCTCTGCTACTTCGTATAAATTGCCACGGAGCCTTGCACCATGTAGTCCCGGTAGATGCGCTCCACAAACTTGCGGCGGGGTTCGCACGCGCAAGTCAGCATCGCGCCTGGGTGTGCTTGGACGAACGTCTCGCGAAACTCTGTGTGGTCCTCGCCTGGTATTCTTGGACGGATCCTCCTCCATCTTCGCTCGTCAAGCAGCTACATGCTCTTGCAAAGAGCTGGCCGCCTTGAACACGGCAGCGAGCAAGGTGAGGGAGAGCTCTTGCTTGGCGGCCGTTGCCATTGCCCCGAACTGAACTTGGTGTCGTCGTTGACGATCGCATTCAGGGTCGTCTTTACCGCCCTTATGGTTTCACCGAGCATCGCTAAGCGCTCCACGCTGAGCATAGAGACCTCTGCCATGAGCAGGCAGAGGTCCTCGGGAACTTTCTGCCTGCCGAGGATCTGTCGCATGGCCAGATCGGGGGACTTGCCATTCGGACACACTGTCTTGTCCACCATGGCACGAACAGCCCTCTGCACAGAGGATTGAATCGGATCGAAGCTGAGCAGCAAGCTAACAAGACGAAGACATGTGTATGATGCACCGACGGCAGAACTAAACAGCAAAACGAGAGGCTGCACTCTACGGAGCGAACATCAGAGCCACTTCAGGTCTGGCACGAGCACAAAACTTGCAGAGCGTACTTGGCTCCGGCAGAATGCGCCCGACATGAATGCATTCATCTGCAGTGAGCCTGTTGCAAGCTACGACCTGATAGTCTGATTTAGAAGAGCAGTGACACTTGCACTCGTAATTGGCTGCGGAGCCGAGCCGTCGGGGATCTTCAGAAAGAACTCTGCGATCGGCAAAGGGAAATCCACGCCTTCGTTGACCTCGGAGGGCTGGACGCAGGCTGGAGCCGCTGCGCCCTTGAGGTCTGCGACTAACCGTTGCACCATGACCGCGGGAATTGCCGAGCGGTTGCGAATGTATTGGAGGACCATGGGACCAGGATTCTTCCAATTTGCTTGCAGCCCAATCCCCTGGAGCGAGCGCCCCTGACGCACAGCTGCGTCGACCATGGTGACTGGGAGAATGTCCTGCGAATTTCGACCGGAATCGAGGTCTGGCCGCACCTGGCGAAAGAATGCCTCGAACCCACAAACTTGAAACAAGCCAGGGTACCGCTGCACTCCGGCGGCACCGCTCTGAACTCGTCCTGTGTGTTCGGCTCGATCGGACTGTGCCTCCAGGTTGAACAGGGCCCAGGCGAATTCGAGCCAGCTGCTGCCGGAGAACCCGACGTTGGGCACCATGTCGAGTTGAGCGCGCGCTGCAGAGCATGCTCACTGGGTCCAGTAGGGTAATAGAACATGTCTGCGTAAGAGGCTAGTAGAACATGTCCGCACGAAATAGCAAGATCAGCAAGGAAAGAGGGAACAAAGAAAACTGCCCACCGCTGAGCAAGCAAGTGAATTAACCCCGTGACCACAAGGCGCTGCGTAGCAGCACTCAATGCGACCTTCCTCTTTTTTCCTCTCCTGCGTGAAGAATCCGGCAACGAGCGCTACGGCTGTGCGCCAGAGCGCTAAAAGAGCCCGGCTCGCAGAAAGCTTTGTCCTTCGCTGTTCTCGCGCCAAAAGGCTTCATCTGCCCTCGGACTTCTGAAAAGACAACGGAAAAAACTCTACATACAGCGGAGCACTTCACTGGCTTGGCTAAAGCCCGAGCTTGGCCTGGGGCCTAGCGATTGAGGAGGGCCGAGCAGCTCAGGCAGATGTGATCCACCTCGGAACATGAGCTGGCTATGTTCTCCTTGAAGTTTGCCTCTGTTTGATGGACCACACGCAGCCGGCGTCACTGTGGCCACGCGGAATGAGTGAGCTTGGCACTGCTCGACGGTGTGCCTCATCCGTCTCAATGGGCGGAGCTCGCCTCTGGTCTCTTCCGGGCCCGACGTCCAAGATCGGCGGGACGATCACTGCGTCCACCTGCTTGGAGTGCTCCTGCAAGGCGAGCGCCTTCACCGGGACGATGCGGGCGCCGGGCTTGAACAGCGGCTGTCACAAGTCAGGCAGAGGTTGTCACGGTGACTCTCCACCCGACCGCGCCGATTCTTGGCCCAGTTGCTTCCACACTGCCCGCCTCGATAGAGGAAGTCCAATGCAGCTCGGCACTGATCAGGGCGGGTCCCGAGACTCTGCTGATCACCAACGATGAAGGTGGCGCCGACATTGAACTCGCAGCCACATCCAAGCGATCGCCCTGCACTGAGAAACCTCATCTCATCTCCAGCCGATCGGCGTCTACACCCACAGCATCTGTGGACGAGAGCGCAACCAGCCGGATCTCAAAGTGACAGTGGAAAGTGGAAAGTCGAGCGCCACAGGAACTCCTTTGCCTGAGCAGGCATACAAGCAACCGTCCACTTCAAAAGAGACCGCCACAATCCGGCAGCCCTGGAACTGATGGGACGAAGAGCAACTTTTCCAACTGCTCCATGAACCCGCCGTCCACGTAGTTCATCTGAACACCCAAGTCCCTGTTGCCGCGATAGCATGAGCATGCAGGTGGCCCTTGATCTTGAGCTTGATGTCCACCCAGGTCGGCGAGCTCTCCGACATAACCGGCCAACGAAAGGATAACGATAGCACCTTTCCTGTCACCGAGTCCCCTGCACCACAAGGAACGGCAGTGTAGGGCCCATGCTCCCCACGATCATCAGTTTGTACTGCGAGAGCGTCTTCATCAGGAACAGGTTGAAGTGGTAGCCCATCTGCGGCGAGCGGACCAGGCTACGATCGCTGAGCACGTTCACAGGTGCCTGAGTGTTGGTGAGGACACTCATGTCAGTCTGTGCTGCGCTCGCATCACAGGAGCTGATCAGTGATGCATTTCCCGTTGCCATTTTGGCTATAGGCTGATCAGCCTGCGGCAACGAGCTGACTCTTGAAAAAGCTAAGCAGCTAGGGTAGAAGCCATGTTCGGCGCCAAGTTCGAGCGGCAGATCCAGATGGCTGGCTGCCGTGATCCAAGGGCACCACGGCCGATCACGGAAGAGCCTGTCGAAGAAGGTGATCCCAACGACCTTTGGAATCGGGCGGAAGAGGTGTTCATCTCAGGCCGCAGGGTTGCGTTCCCTCCTGCTGAACAAGGTTGGTCTGCCTCCGACTGGCAGCAGCTAAGGCCCTGGAGTCAACCCTGCTCAGGCGACTGCCCAATAGTTCGTGGACTTTGCCAACAAGTCCACCACAGCCAGGCGGCTCCGCTTGCAGCAGGACAACGACAACAAGGGCGGTCGGAAACCAAAGTGGGGGCAGTTCGACTACAACAACCCTCACCAGAGACAGCTCCCAAACCGCTTCTCGCAGATTGGACCCGGGGAGAGAAGCGTCCTGATCGTGGACAACCGCGACATGAGGCTGCAGTCCCCTTTTCACAGGTGGATGCTTGACGTGTGACCTCAAGACCGTGAGCGGCCCCTCTAGAGCAGCCCTACCTAACGTTACTAGAGGAACGTGAGACCCTACCCAATCGACCATGCTTCCCACTCTGTACTCATGCGCATTAATCAAGGAGCAAAGCCGAAAATGCTGGCTCATATTATGTCTCTTCCAGCTTTGGGATAGAAAGTGTTGTGAAACGTCTTCTTCTGTCACGTACAAACATGTGTCGGACATAGATTCCAGACAAAGCCTCCGTTGTCAAATCCAGACGCATGAACACTTGTTGGGCCGACAAAATCCTGACGGAAAACCGGTCAAACACACTGTCGTGCTTCTTGCTTCTGAACTCCTTTCGTTTGTGTTTCGCCTCTCTTCACTTCCCGATATCTTGCTCACTTTGTGGTTGCAAACCTTGGCAAGGACACGGGAAGCTTTGCTCGCACCTTTCAGAGGGCGCGGGGCGCACAGAAGCGTTAGTGGCGCGGCTGTACGCGCTGTACTGCTTTACATTGTGCTAGTAATAGACTACATAGCTGGTCAGCCCTTCCCCCCCGCCAGACCAGTCATCCCTCGCGACAACCCCCAAACTTAAACCCAAACACACTTGCGTTTGTATTATCACAGTCGTCTGCTTATTTCGTTTTATAGAGAGTGAGTCAAATGTAGGTGGAACCTTGGGCCCCTGCTTGGGGCCTCGTAAGGGACAAGCGGGTGGGCGGGGCTGGGTGGGAAGGCGACAGCGGGGGCAAGGAGCCCGCCCATGCAAGCAGGCGGAGGTAGGTGTGCGGGAGTGAAGGGGGTGCAGGGTCCATTCCGTTTCTCAACAACCGGTTCCGCTGCTCCACGATGGCCAGCAAAGAGAAAGGCAGTTTACAGGATCTGCACACACGATGGTTCGTTCGCGCTGCTGCTCTGCTTGCCGATTGGCCAAGCTATGGACAGCTTTTTTCGAAGAGTTGATGAGATGCACCAGGGGCTTGCCTAGCGTGGACGCAAAGACTTGGCGCGCATGGAGCACTTCCTTCTGGCAAACTCATGCCTCTTTGGTCAAGGCTGCGCCAACTATGGCTAAGACATCCACAGCTGCAAAACCCTGAACAGGGGCACTACATGCTGCGGAAGTGGGTTGACACAGGAAGCCAAGGGCTCTTTCGGAGGAGCTCAAACAATTCTTGTTGGTAAATCAGGAAATGGCTGCTATAGCAGACGGATTGCTCAATGAGCAGGCTCCGCATGCGGGTTTCCCAAATAGTTGTTAGGCCTTTAGGCCTGTGTTGGTTCCTATCTACCCAACATCGTCTTCGCACAGACAAATTTCATGCTTACCCCAAGGCCGGATACATATTACGGGCTGCATACACCACACAGTTCAGGTATGAGAAGTGTGTTTTCGGCAAGCTCGCACGTTCAGTATAAAGAATTCAGAACTCGAATGAGTGAGTGACTGACTCTTGTCGCCCAAGCCCTTCAATTCATTAAAAGGGTTGGCTTCACCAACAGTAAAACTCTGTTCACACCTGCACGTCAAGTCTACGCCAGGGTCCTGCTGCTGCTGCAAAGCATCAAGCTGCTTCCGGGTGGCCTGGGCTCAGATGGTGATGCAGAAGTCAGCATCTCGGCAGAAGCCATCTTCAATACAACCAGGCATGCATAGCCAGGCAGACAGCCTGCCTCTCTTCCGGCCTCCATTTGAGCCTGGAAAACGCACAAGTATAACAATTCTCTCCAAAACAAGCCCCAGACAGTGGTGCTTTCACATATTGCCCCTGGGAACGAACAGCAGTCACCTTCAAAGCCTGAGGCCCTGCATGGCATGCCCTTCGGCTCGAAGAAGCCAAATAAAATCTCAGCAGCTTGGCTCATGTCAGAGGAGCCTTCATTGTGTCAATTCTTCTCGCCAACGAGCTTGCCGACTCCTGGCAGCATGCCTACGTGGCCCGCATTATGCCGCATTACTATCCAACCCTGTGCTCCAAGGGAGCCTGGGATCGTGGCTCCGACCTGGCTGATGTCAAGACAAAATCTGATGTCAAGAATGATACGGACCACTCTAGCAGCTGCGTCATTTCAGATCGGGCGGCGCGCCGTCACCTCTATGTACAATTGACTGTCAGCAAATTCATCTGTATGATGCTTCTTCAGCCCATGCAGGAATTCCATCCAAATCAATCTCACAATCCATGGTATCTGCTGAGGAAGTCGTCTTGCCTGAGAGCTAAGCAGGGTTCTTCTTTCTTGTGTTGCTTGAGTGCCAATGCTGCGTAACTTCCAACTACGCTTCGGCAAAATTGGTGCTGGGTTGGTTGGTTCCCTCTTGACCTGAAGGCTGCTGGCAGGCCACTTCCAACGCTAACCGCCTTCCCAATCATGAGGTTCTCCTTCACACCCTCCATGCCGAAGCGGCCTGAAGGCCAAACTGGAACCTAGAAATGCAGTCAGACTGGGCTTTGGGACTTGTCTTGGCCTGCACCACTGCAGACTTCATTGGCAACGACATTGTCCACTTCTCGGAATCCCATTGCCACAAGCATGTGGCTGCCATCCCTGCCGATCTCCGTCACCCCACGAACGACAGGCCTCACCCTCACCTGCACAAGAGCTGCCCTGACCATGTCAAATCAATTTAGCAAGCCATGCTTCTTTTGCGACCACACGCAGCTGTTCTGCAAAGTACTCTAGATACCTACGGCCCTTGCTAGGCTTCAGCAGTGCCATCGCATGCTGGCTGGCCTCTCCGCTGGGCTGGAGTGCGCAAAGCCCTTCCAGCTCAACATAATTCATCAAAGTGCCAGGCGGCAGTCCGCTGATGCCCTCTTCAATCCTGCACTTCTCCTTACACCATTGATGTCAAGGTATCTCCGGACAACTACTCCTTCTGGAGTTATGAGACAGAATGAGAACTCCCATTTGTGGATCTAGCGTCAAACGCCAGAAGCGCGAACTGAACCCACAAACTTTGACTAGCTGCTCACTCGCGGCACAAACCTAAACTTCCCTGCAGCTGTGCTTCTGTCATTCTGCGTACGACCACCTGCCACAAACCCTACAACTTAGACCAACGCGTTTGGGAAGCATGCACCAATTACTCAAATCTGACATTGCAAGATAAGATCATGAAGCCTCGCCTCAATGTGCTTGCTACTGATGTCAACCTGGGCATTGTGCGGGCGGTAAAACTTGCAAGATCATCTGTCACCTGTCCAACCAGTGAGGTCCAGATATGTCCAAACAAATATTCCGGGCGGCAATTTCCAGAAGAGTCACAGAACAACTAGTTAGCGCCAGCGTGCGTGACTACACTTTGTGCAAAATCTGCAAAGCCTGCAGATGCCTAGACTCTTCTTGCGCAGCACAGAAACTGACAGAAACTGAAACTAATGAAAAGGAGATCACACTTCTTGTTTTTGGTGAAATTTAGTGCGGTGCAAGTTGCACCCTGTTCGCCATAGGCGGACTGAATGTCGGCCAAAAGCTCCTGCTCAAACCTGCTTTGCACACAGAAATAGAAACAGTCCGGGAAAAAAGCCGATTTGCCTTCGGCGGGCTGCGTACGCAGCATCGAGGCTGCTCCGATTTATGGCCTCCTGCTCGCATCTGCTTTCACTCTCCACTCTACAGCTTCCCTCCACCAGTTTTCCACCACCGCCAGGGCCTCCTCGAAGATCTTGTCTAGCCGAGCTTCAAGTTGCTTGTTGGCAGCCTGGGCACATTGAAGCATTTGAAGCCTACTTGGCCGACATTGAAGCACAAACGTCCTGCCTCGAAAAGCCTTTCAATGCGCGGAAGGCCTTGAACAATATCCGATGTCCGCGGTACTGCCAATGGTTCCGTGGCCAGGCAGTCTCCAATGCGGACCACACTCCCGTCACGCACCTGAGCTGCAGTGTTTCTGTGTAGAGTGTCGGCCATTGCATAAGATCAGGCAGACGTTCGCGCCATTTACACACGCCTTCCCAAACCTCCACTTTGAAAGCAACTCCCTGCTCGGCTTCAGGTTCAAGAGTTCTTTTTGACAAGAGGGCCTTTATTTCATGTCACAGCCTGGACCCCTGCCTCCTCCATTGCAAGCAGTTTGGGGTTCAGCATGCAGGGCCAAGCTGGGGCTATCAGTCATCATGTGTCTCAGCATCGCAGCCAAGAGAGAGAGAGAGAGAGAGGGAGAGCTTGCTGCAACATATCACTGATCTAGAAAACATGTTAGCGGTCTTAGCCTGGTTTCTGCCCTTCTTGGGCGTGTCTTCTCCAGAGCCATGGGTACATGGCAGTCAAAGCAAAGTAGCAATGCAGGGGGACATGCTCGCCAACAGTCTCCAATTTAGGTCGCATTGAGCCCGACCGCGAACAGCCCATGCAGCTACTCGTAGGTGCTGTGCGGGTCCAGGGGCCAACTGATTCGACACCCAAATTTGAATCGGTTGACGCAATTCACCGATCTAGACTCGACCATCATGCTCCGCGTTCATCCGAGGCGCCATTACCGAGCCCTTCTGAGTGACCAGGTAAGAACTGGCCCGGCGCAGCAGAACTGTTGCGTGACCATCCTGAGTGGGCTTCAGGCACGTCCTGTCTATTGAGGGCAGACCAACACAACAATGGAAAGCGCAAATCGAGCGTCTTCGTCAACTTGCACGGACACAACCTCGCTTTCAGCAGGCGGCTGTCATCACAGTGCGGGCTCCAACAAATGCTGTGAACCAAGAGTGGAGGAATCAGTCCCTGAAGCAGCACGCAAGCTTCCTATCCAAGTATACTACCAGCAAAGTAGCAACAGCAACCTGGAGCCCAGCCACTTGTCCAGCTGCAGGAGAAACATCTTCAGAGCTAAGCCAATCATGCTGTCGAACTAGGTCTCCCAAGTGAATCAACGGTTTCGCCTGACCTGGTTCTCCCAACACGTTTTAAGCGAGCATGACTTCAAAAGTTGCACAGAGGCCACTGCAGGGCACCCTTAACACATCCTTGTCACTCAGAACCACCGCTGTCAGCCTGGAGTCCAAGAACTGGTGCTGTCTTGATTTCCATTTTCAGAAACACAAACTACTGGTCCTGCTGGGCCCTTCCTCGCTTTCATCTCGAAGCTCGGCTTTGCATACAATGCCTGGGCACAGGTGCCGCGGTCTCACGTCTCATGTAGGCAAAGCCGTGCCAGAAATTGCTCAATCCAGCACCACTTCAATGTGCTGGCAGTCTAGGAGAAGCATGTTCAACTGTGCAAATCATTCCTCATGCTGGCGCATTGTACCACCACTACTGGCTAGGCTGACAACTGCCAGCGCCATCTAGCAGCTGAGATGCCAGTTTGGCATCTGCTTCTTCGTGTACGTCTGCTGGCTAGCTCAGGCTTGAGTGACCCTCGAAGATCCATCACTCCCCTTACGTATCCGCAACTTTGCGGGCAAACGAAAAGTAAGTCAGTGTGACGGGAAAGCGCGACTGCAGAACCACGCCCCAGTGCACTGGGGCATGCGCCGGGTACGCCGGGTATGCGCCGGCTGTCTAGCAGCGTTGAAACACTTTAACGGAAATATCACAGACAGCACAGGGTCCTGCAGAGTCTCGGCAACCTGGCATGAACTTCTGTCCCGGCGGGTCCCTTGCCCAGTTCCAGAGCTTGACCGCGGCGCCGCGATGGCAACATCGGCTGCGCTGGTGTGAAACGGTTCCATCACAGGGTGTATCGCGGAATCATGTTTCCGGCCAAGTGAGACGGGAGCATACTGATGATAGTTCCGCTCCGGCGTACTCGGGCGGCATACTCGAGCGTACTGGAGCGTACCCGGGCGCATTGGGACGTACCCGGGTGTACTCGGGCGTATCTCGGCGTACTCGGACATACTCGTGCGAATTGGCGCGTACACGGGCGTACTTGGGCATACTCGGGCATACCCGGCAAAAGCTAGGCTACCTGGACGTACTCAGGCCTACTCTCTTGAGGACGCCGCATGCGGCCGAGATGAAGTAACTCAAGCAGGGATGCTGTTGCATCATTGCTTTCAGCCTCGTGGCAAGGGTAAACGGCTGACAGCTGATAGCAGACTATACACATGAATCCCAGTACCAGAAGGCAGGGATGAACGACAGTAGACAGGGTTGGTAGCGAGTGGCCAGATGGATGATGATTTTGAATAAGAATTGTGATGATTACTGCCCCTTCTTGTGGTGATGACAAGGAGGCTGACGAAGCAAGTTGCGGGCGAAAGAAGGTGGTGGCCAAGCAGAGCTGAACATGCAACAGAGGAGGAGGAGGAGGAGAAGGAGGAGGCATGTGGCAGCCATGACGATGATGACCGTTGTAACAATCATGCGGCCACAGCATCGTAAGTGCAACTGCTGCTGCTGATAATGATGATCATGATGATGATGATCATGATGATGATGATGATGATGATGATGATGATGGCCACTGGGATTACAACGAACATCACAATGAAGGACGATGCTGATAACGATCGTGATGGGGGCATGCTGTAGCAATGGCAGATGAACGTGAGAGACCCACTGCTCATTGTGTAGAATGGAGGATAACAAATAGTGCCAGAATGTCTGCTGACGTCATGATAGCAGTCATAACCGCTATCATGTTGAGGCCTATGTTGACGCTCCAAACGAGAAGATGAAGATCAGAACGGACACGAAAACACGCGGAAAACACCATGACATGTGACCATGAGGTCGACATAGCTTGTTGATTGGCAGATGGTGATAGACGTAATCGCTGATAATGAAAAATGAAAAGGATTCGGAGGAAAACCGGGAATAGGATATGATATGGGTGATGACGATCTCCAACGGTGAGCATGATTAATGATGTTGCTCGGGATGCTGGGGGCAGGGCTGCCACTCATGAACACTACACCGCCTCATGGCTCGAAATACACGAAGACTGCGAACATACAAGCCGTCCAAACACGCGAACAACGCGAATAGTAGCTATAGCTAGCCATGCATATGCTTGTCATGATGAGTGATGATCCTTGCTTGATGATGGCGATTATAGTGATGACGATGATGCTGCTGGCGGTGAAGACTGTGTCAACCACAACGACGACGACAATGACGACCACGACCATGACCATGGCCACGGCTGCGACTGCGACCACGACCGCGACCACCACCACGACGACGACCACATTCATGGCGACTTGTGGGCGGGGCTGCCGACTATGACTGTGCTTTCTGACCGTTCAATCCTAGTCCCCTTCCCCTAGGCCAGCCCACACCCTACAAACTCCAGCAACCTGTGATGGATTCGAACACTCCGAACTTCGAGTCATTGCCACCACGTAGTCCTCGATCCCTCAACACCCCCGGCTCCCTTTACCATACCGCATGGCCTGTATGCGTCAAAACGGCATGAAAAGACCGCTTCGCGCCAGACGCATGCTGAACGGTATGCAAACACATGTCTGGGAAGCTGGCGCCGGTTTTCATGGCATAATTACTTCCCAGGACAACTTTGAGAAAGAAGAGATCTTCCCTTTTCTTGCAGAAACTCTGACCCCAGCCTGCAGCCGCGAGGCTTTTTGCTTGTTTTGAAGAATGGTGGCCAAATGTCCCCATCACAAACTAGATCCACGAGCACGACTAACAAGGAAGACGCACGCATCCCCTCCAGAACTGACACACTGGCCAGGTCTAGTCGCACAAGAACCCCCCCGATTTTCGAGGGACCTGCAGGGTGGGACAATCGAAGATGCACTCAAGTCGTATCAAGACAACTATCCAAGTCTGCACGCGACTAATCTGACAAGCCATGGTATAAGCAACACACCACCTGCTCACGTGATGCACAAGATATGAGCACAGATACTGCAGAGTAGGCACAAGTTTTCAAGTCCCAAACACATCCATCACTCAAGTCCGCTCAGACCCTATATAGACGCACAAGGCAACACATTCAAGACGCAAGTCCGTTCAGATCCAACTTAAATGCACACACGCCTGCACAACGTCGCACGGCATCACGCGAGCATGAGTTGCGTTCCCGAACCCTGCCCGATGATCCCCGACCTGCCTCACCCTCGCCCTCAATTTGCCCTGAACATCTTTGACCATTCGCGTCTCCTTCCCAGACCTTGCTTTTCAGCATGCCCCCCCCATGCCGCAATCCTCCACTTCACCTCCATTGCCCTCCATTCGCCTCCTTGCCCTGCCTGCCCTGGGACCAAACAAGAGTTCAGCATCCAACGTGGTGTTGCCCTAGACCGATATATGCACATTATACAGAGAATGCATGCTCAGGAATCAGCTCAAACTCAAGATGTTCGCTGCCAAGGGCTTGCCCTTGGAGGCCTTTTCAGGTTGGCTGCAAGCCTGAAGGCATGCTCTGAATTCAGCACGTGCAGATGATCAGGCTACGAAGCAAGCAACTCAAGAGGCTGAGATGTGTCACAGAAATCCGAACTGAAACAAAACTGACGGACACATACATAACAAACGTCGTCAAAAGAACGTCAGCCGTCCACGTCGATGCAAACAAATGACTACTGTAGATGCTGTTCATAGAATCACGTGGCAGCATGTTGACAACATATTCGTGGCGTGGAAGCCAAACCTGTTCTGATGACGTATGTTCGGCGTGTCATCACCTACAAGACCAGCAATCACCGACCAAGCATGCGTGCATAGGTCTTGTAAGAGGATGGAGCAACAAAGGAAAACCGAGGCATCTGGAGTAGATGAGTACTTGCACCCTTGCTGCACGAAAGTGGTAAGCTTCAGTCATGTCAGGATGACGGGTATTGCATGCTAGGCTACGGGTTTGCAAACATTGGGAAGTTACTGTGTACATACTATACATGATAGAGCTTGTAGCTCTTATGCAACCAGTGACTGGGGTGACTGGACGCCGCCAATAGTCTCATGGCGATGGAACAGGCCGAATACAAACACACACACACACACACACAAACCAGAAAAAAACAAACAAACAGACCATTAGGATCACGGAGGGAAGGGTTTAACAAGAAGACTTCGAACAAACGACAAAACAAGATGTGCAGCTTTCCAGGCCTCCGTGGGCCTTTCACCAACCAAAGATAGAAGCAGGAATCAAAGAAACATGGAGAAGTACATGATGATTTTGCGCAGTCAACACTTCAACCGAATCATGTTGAAAGTATGCAGATGCAACTTGGGGAAGACAGCATTCTAAACTCTCAGACCCTCGGGTAGCAGACTCGTAAATGCGAAGTCTGTCACCTTCCCCAAGGACTTCGACATCTGACTTGAATACGTTTGCCAACAAGAGTCGAGACTCATGCAAGTTAAGAAAACCTCAGTCCACTCATTGCTGCAAAAGCTCCACTGGATTTGGATGGCACCATCCGACGAGCGATGACGCCGTCTGAAGCACCACAAGTGATGTATCCTCGGACGCAGTAATGTCCTGTGTACTCCCGTCAACGGTTTGACATGACAGCATATGACAGCACAAACCTCTGGGTAATCAGGATCAGCTTCGTGGCTCGGCCTCTTGCCAAGAACTGTTTGCTGCAGCTGCTCTTGCGTCACCCAGTGGAGAGTGCTGAATGACGCAAAGGCTGCTTGGACCCCACTCCTCGTTGCTACAAGGCCCTTGCATGTATGGCGCCAGCGTGCATGTTGCGACCTGCACCACTACTGCAGACAGCTGTCGCGGGCAACATCCAGCGTCTCTCCATGCAGGGAGACCGCCGGTGGGCAGGGAGCCTCCTCCTTCAACTTATTGGCACCCCCATTTACTGTGCAAGAGTGCTACTTCCACAAGTGAAGTCACGACGCAAGTGCAGTATGAATGCCAGGAGACGGCAAGTTGGTCCGGCACAGCACTGATGCAATGCCTTCGTTACAGCTTGGTTTGCCCACTGACTGGTACACAACTTGCAGTTGCGGCACAGATCGTGATAATGCCTGCCGACACTGGCAGACACTTCGTGCGCCAAAACCAACGGCACGGCGGACTCCACAATCTGTCCTTTCTCCGCTGATTTGGAAAGCGCAATTGCCACATGTCCATACACAAGGCCCTGTTTGAAACTCAGGCCCAACACCAATCAAAGTATGATAAATCTGCCCACAGTATACGAAGTCTATTGCCGAGTCGTGGCAATAGGAGCACGACAACCCTCAGATGTACCTGTGCGTGGCTAGCTGACTAGCTTTCGATGTCCCGGGCCGACAGTTCAGGTGACCTCGTGGCCTACGAGTAGTCCTATACCAGGCCGCATGAGTGGCATGGCGATCCATGGCAAGCCATACTGAACTCTCGGTAATCAGGAGAGAATATCACATCATAAACGCAGATGGAGGCCAAGCATCCGTGCTTTTGCAACGGGTTCCAAAATGTCATGGTATGCGACTCAGACGGCAGCCGATGATCAGCTGCTGGCAGGTCGAACAATCTTGTACGACCTGACAGGTCTTCAACTGCTGCAGCAAACTGCCGAAAGAGATGACTGCCGGCTGCCAATCTCCTCTCCCCTTCTGCTCGCAAAGTCTAAGCAGATGGCGCAGCAGAAGCCTCACAAGATCAGAACCACGAGGGTCGTCCAGAATCTGAGCCTCTCATTGTTGGACCCCAGATGCATCCAAATGCTACATGTAAGAGATAAGCTTTGCACAATCAAAACATCAAAGGGTTCCAGTACAGGTCGCGTCGCAATCGTCCAGTTTGAGGCCATCTTGGTCATAGGCAGCCCTGGTATGACCGGATGATCGGGGGGCACTGCTCTCATGTAGAAATATACCTGGGCAAGCACTTGCTGTGCTGCACGTGAATCTGAACGGGTCTCAATGTCACTGATACAGGAAGCCAACCTGCCCAGCTGCTCCGTTTCCGTCCTGTGAGCCCTCCGCTGCATCCCACCAAATGCCCTCAGTGAAATGCTTGCTTGGAGCCAAGAGAATCTCGCCAGGCTTGATGGCACCTTGCATACAAGACGACTCAAACTAACACAGACGCCAAAAAACCTTCAAGCACTCAACAGCACTTGCTGCCCCGGAACACTCCCAAGAAGCATCTGCTGATAGGTCCAGCTTTTCAAGGTCTCTGGAATAGTACACCTGCAGTCGAGCAGTGGATGGGGAATTGAAAAGGGTGGGTTGTACGTTGACCGCACGAGATGCGGAAAAGCCCCTGACCCGATCCTTGCAGCGGCAAACCTGGGCACCCATTTCTATCCCATGGAAGCCACGAACGACGTGCACATGAAAGCTGGTCAGCTCAACGTGAGCTCACATTATTCACAACATCAACACATGCTCGGGGAGGGGGCCAACCCAACGTCCACAGAACTCTAACAAATGCCACCCTCGAACCTTCCTTTGCGGATCTGAGAAAAAACATGGCAAGAGAGGCAGCTGTTGAAAATGATCCTTCAAGAGTGCGCGTCTTGCTATACAACGAAGCATGATACTACTGCAATATGGATAGAAATCGTCGTAGTCTTGACAGGCAAATACCATGAAGTAATGCACGCGGACGCTCTTGACGCTATTACTCCCTGACGGACTCTGCCGTGACGTCTCTTGAACACAGCAGTACACACACACGATAGCCGGCGCCATCTCTTGCTTTTGCACAGGGAGCAAAGGCTTGCAATTCGCTGCAACGCTGATTTGCACAAGCTGCAACATCATTTCACGAGGACTGCTTCCATGCTTGCTACTTTGAGTGGTGCCACCCTTCTCTCAAAGCATTCCGCAAAACATTTTTGTCTGCACAAAACTTTAGCGAGCTCGGTCACGTGAAAATGGTTTGACACCACCAAGGAGTAGTGAAATCCCTACTACGTTGCTGCAGCACATTGTTGCTTGAGGCGGCAACCCTCATTAGTGCTCACCTTTTTCTCTGTGCCTTCTTGGAGCCGCTTTTAAGGGGCATGACTCCTCCATATTCTTCATGGCAATGCACTTGCAGCCCGCAGGTGTGCCCTCCACACCGCCTTCTTTTTGCTCTCTTTATCTGCGAAAACCCTGCCTTCTTCGAAACCCAAGCGATGGGACCGGCACATCACCTGTGCCGATTTTGGTGCACAATCAGCAGAAATATGGTAGGCGAGGATGTGGGTCACTCCCAGCGTTGTGCTCTGGGGCTTTTTGCTTGACGTGAGCTGCATAGCCGCATAGCCCTAATTCTCTTTCGATGCTAGGTCCTGACACCTTTGCGAGCTTTCTGCAACAAAGCGAGAGCCTGCCTGTTTATCAAGCATGCCGATGTTCGTGCCCAAGGCCCGAAAAAAGCTCGGGGCATGAAGCGGCTGGTTTTTCGCAGGTTCCTCCACCACCGTGCTCGCAACTTTGTTCACACGCAACCATTCTGTTCTTGCTGGTGGTCTGTTACGTCTTGTCGGTATCTTTCGCCCCGACTCCAAAACAGCAGCGACAATAACATTTGAACCCTCGATAAGCTTGAACACGCTGTTCTTCAGTTACCACACGAATCAAATCGATGTCTGCTTTGGCAAGGTTGTAAACGACATCAGGCCTAACCGGCTTTGTTCCGATGATGGCATCTTTGCTTAACTCGAAGCTGAAAAGCTTGCCTGTTGATTGTTGATGCTGGCTTCATCATCTTTCAACCCCCACGCCATTGCGTCCAAATAGACAAAAATGAAAAATGCAGACACCCTCTCATCGGCTATCGTGCCGTTGCACCTTCATTCACATGCGCAGGATAATGGCTGGGTGCTTGGAGCTGTTGTTGCGGACCCTCCTTAGTTCATCTTTTTGCTGCTTCGCGCTTGCTGGCTTCGCATGCTTCGCTGTGCTGCTCCTTAGTCGTATGCGTTTGCGAGCTCCAGTCATTTGAGCAGCAATGAGAGTGGGCGCTGTCGACTTTTCAGCTTGTTTCCGCTGCTTGTTGCTGATGGATGTGTGTTTATTGTCTTCTTTCTTTGCTTTAACATTGCGAGCGCCCCGTTGCTTCGTAAGGCCTGGAAACCATGATGACCTAGGAGTCGCCCTCATAAAACGTGAGTTCCTCGGCGTCTGCAGGGCTATCGCTTGCAAGCGCAGCGCAACAGCGCTGGGGCCATCGCGGCAAGATCTGTCTTATGGCTTTGACTATTTCTAGCCAAAGTTAGACAGAAACTCCTTAAAGCCTTCGTCATCCCGTTGAGCCAGAGCCCCCTGGAAACAGTAGCAGCCTGTTGGGGCCTGAAATGCCGTTTTTCTTGACATTGACTCTCAAATCAGTGCAACATCATGCGCAATTTGCGATAACACTTGGGAGCAGTTAGGCGCCAAAACAAACCATCAGAATTCTCTTTGGGAGCAAAGCTTGCCTTGATGGCTGGCTTTGGAGTCGACCCTTTGTTGCTGGAAAGCTGTTCGAAAGCTAGTCAGTTGGACCGGAGCTTGATCCGGAGCGCGTGCTGTGACGCAGGTCCTCGCAACATCAACGCCACAGCGCCGGCAAATGCGAAGACGTCAGCTGACCGCCCCATGCTCATCCCAAAGGAAAAAACTCGCGCTGCTTGGCGATTCTTCTCTGTTTTGAATTCATTTGACAGGAAATTCTGACAGAACAAGCTGTGAAGCGGAAGGGGCTGTGTAGCTTCACGGCTGTCATCCCTCAAGCAGATGTGAAAGTTGCAATCGCAACTTTGCAGTGTGGTTGTCGTCTGCTGTTTCGCTGCGGCACGGATTGTTGGGTCGGCTAGCTCTGGGATGGGCAGGGGGTGACGCTACCATTGGCTTGCTGCTGCCAAGCTCTCACTCGTTTTCATCAATGGACTTGAGCCAAAGAACTTGAAACTGGCCCAGGAATCCCAGTCCACATTGTATGCACCAAGGCAGAAACAAAAGTCTCGGCTTGCATGCTACCTTGCGGCTGCTGCTGATTTTGCGCAAACGGGGGGTAAGCAGTTTGCCTTTTTCCTGTTCTGTTTGTGGTTTGGGAGAATGAATCCTCCTGTACTTCCAAGCTAACTCAGAAAACCAGGCATTTTGACTCTTTGCCGTTGTCCTCTCGCCATTGACAAAATTAGAGTGTACTGTTATGAAGGCCAAAAGGCATCTTGACGGACCCATAATGGCCATAATGCGACGCGAATTTGCCGAGGAACCGCATCAAAATCGAGCTCTCCTTCTAGCTAAGGTCTGGCGTCTGTTTTGTAACTGTGCTGTGTTGTATCGTTGCATGCTGCACCGCCTAGCTGGGGCAGCTAGTCTCATGGGAAACTGCCCCTGGATGAGCTCGCTTCGTGCCCTTCCCTTGTTGAAAACCTTCGGAAGCTCGTAGTACTGTATTGCCCGGCATGGGCAAGCCCTTCAAAGAGGAACTGCTCACAGCTACGGAAAGAGCATAACTTCTTGCTGCACAGAATCCAATACGCCGTCCTCTTCTCGCTGCACAGTAGCTGTAGAAGACAAGGAAGTCCGTTTGAATAGCAACTGCCTGTGCATGCTGTGTGTGTGAACTGTTTCGGCAGAGAAAAACTCTAGACAGGCTTCGCCTTCCCAGCTTGATAGGGCTCTTTTCCTTACAGACCTTGCAAGACAAAGTCACGTGAAATTCATGCCTTCGTCAGCCCTCCATTCCTCGTACCTTCCGCTGCTCTTCGTTCAAAAGCCGGATACTCTCTTCAGGTGACCAGAGGATAGCCATGCCACCTGATCAACAAGGCTGTGCAGCAAGGATGGGTGGATGAGATCCTCTCGCCTTCCCGTGGCACATGAAGGCACAGGCCACCACCCGGCGTCACACACTCTGCGGTGATATTGCAGGCAGTTGGGAAGATGGCGGCCCCTGCTTAATTTCTCTACAGCCACAGGGACACTCATGCTGCGGGACACAGGCCTGATTGCAGGGATGGCGGGTTACACATGACTCGCAGCTTTCGCCGTGCAGCATCCTGCTCATCCTGCCAAACCTGCGCACTTCATGACATCAATACTTACAATTGCAATACTGAACAGACAGCAAACAGGCAGCAACTTGAATGATCTTGGGTGGCTGTCCGGCCTGGGTGAACACGTTTGACGACTTGGGAGCTGCAGGGCTTGCTCTGCGGATCTCATCTGCAGCCGTCAAAGCGCGCGAGACTCCCTCAGGAATTTCAAGCTTTCTAAGATTGCAGAATGCTGCCACAGCTATCACAGCGGCAAGAGGCAGCCTGTCGCCACCTGAGACCGACTGAAGGAGGAATCTTGTGACTCTCCTCAACAGCTCGGCATTTGCTTGCAGAGCATAGGAACATGAAAAATGATGAAGGCGCAACAGAATGGCAACGAGGAATCAGGACGACAGTTGTCCAAAATGCACATGAAGCACAGGCAGTCCTCATGCAACGAGGATGGCATCTGCGGTTCTGTGATGTACTCCGTTGTCCGAGCTGCCGCAAGCTCGAAGAAATCAAAGTCTGTGCGCAAAGAGAAGGCCTCCTGTCAGCATCTTTCAAAAAGCTTTGCGAGTCGAACTGAAGGCTCTCGCTGAGAAAATCCTCAGCAATCACCGATCGAGGCGGCTCCTTCGAATGCGGCTCATGTCATGTGCAAATAAGATCCATTTCACCTGCGTTTGCCACCCATTCCGATCCATCAATCAGAAGGTATCCGGGAAGTGCCACACGACAGAACAAAAAGAGAGCGCATCAACAAGCGGATCAACATACGGCTGACCAACAGCATTATGTGGTCCTTCCGACAAAGACGCTGGAGATTGCCATGGCACTCACTGCTATGAATTTGTGCTTAAAGCTTAACAGGCAATAGCTCCAGGACTTGTACTTTAAACACAGCTAACAGCTGACACCTCAAGTGCTCAAATGAAGCAGCGCCTGAAAACGTGGAACTCCATCATGTTGTGTCGCGGCCCATTCTTGTGCAAGTGCTTGACCAACTTCAACAGCATCTCCCTCTTTCACCTGTCGACCAAATATGCAAGACTTGCACGCCCTCAAGCCTCCGCACTCCAGCAAAATGTCACGCGCCGCTGCTGCACACAAACATCTCTCAGCCAAGTGGCCGCCAAAGTGGAACCTTCGTGCTGAAAGTCGAGAGAAGTGCCCTGCAACACCCAGACCTCTCAACAAGCTTGCTCATGCCTGCGAATGCAAAATATGACTATGCGGATCAATTCTTTCCGAAGCCATCATGAATTGAATTTTGAGTCCCAGTGGCCAGCATGCCTCCTTGCTCAATACAATTGTTCTGCGCATCAGCCTCTTGTAAGACAACCTCACCATCCTGATCAGAATTGATGGGCTTGTCCAAAGTTTCGACAGCCTCCTCGTCGGAGCCTCATCACAGAACACATGACCTAGTGTGCTGCCAACTGATGACTTAGCAATGGACATTGCAGCACAGCAGCTTTGCGAAGACATGACCGGCTTTTGATAGAGAACCTGCCCGAAGCTCACCGAGGCACCTTGACAACACTGAAAAGGCACCGTGGTTCGCAACAAGCTTCCTTCCATAGCCTGGAATCTGAAGTTTGGAAGGGGCACCATCAAGCACTTTGACATAGCTGCCAGTCTCGAGCTCCTCCACTTGCGTCACGGTGCCATCCGCAGCCATGATTTCTAGTGTCGCAGCCTCTTTGCGGAGAGCTGAATGACTGCAAATCTCATCTGGGTTGGCTGGATGCAAACTCCCGCCTCCGCCAAGACACAGCCAACATCACCCTGTGGTGACCGCTTCCATTCCCGAACAGCTCCACCCTTGGTGTCAGCTGACGGCTTACAAGTACTGGCTAAGCACTCCGAGGTGGGACATGCACAGACAGAAGGAACGTCACTGGGCTGTGGGCAGCCGGGCGAGATATGTGCTCCTTTGATATGGCACTGCCAAAGCTTCGCAGGCGGACGTGTCCATCATGCTTGGCAACGACACCTTCGCCAGCTGAACCTGTACAGGTGATCCAGCATGATCCAGCAGAAGCATACTGGTGGCATCATCAGCAAGGGCTAATTAGTGGCCTTCAAATGCTCCACCAGTGTGGAAAGTTCGCATAGTGAGCTGCGTGCCAGGTTCGCCCATGCTTTGTGCTGCTATAGTGCCAGACGGATGTCCATGGCGAGCCAGCTCTCCAGGTGTTGACAGGTCTTCTCCATAGCAAGCGGCGCAGATGCCACGAGAAAGGCGACATCCAAGCGGTGTGCGAACATAGACTGGTGGCAAAGTGACTTGACCTGACTTCGACAGAGACGTCCACAGCTTCTCGATCTGGGCAGCTTCAGCTTCAGTCAGCATGTGCCTGAGATTTGAACTCTTGAAGGCTTGCTTTAGCATCGATAGGAAAATCTCGGGATAGAAAATCTCGGGAGCTTGCCTATCTCCTACGCAGCGTCTTTTCCCTACTGTCTGCTCTTGAAGCATTAGTGACGTTACCCGCAAAACTAGGAGCAAACACGGCAAATAACTGTATGTCTCCACTGCCTTGCTGGGAGTCTATCTATCTGCATCACGCAGCCATGTGCAGCCCACTGCTCAGTGAGCTGTCAGCATGTCTTGCCCCAGACAAGGCCGGACGTGACAAATGACAGCTAAGTGCGCAAATGCCAGCTGGCGAATGCTGTCTGAGGGGGTAAACGTCTGAGGGGGTAAACGTCTGAGGGGGTAAACAGTTCCCACTGCGCCTTTAGCCAAGATACCCTGCTTCGAACAGGACCTCATCCTCTCCCGGAGCAGGGTCAGGGTGATGAACTGGCTTCCCAAGAACCCGCCCGCGGATTCGGTCTTTAAAGGAGGCGACCGCAGCTCGCAAGCCTTCAAGCTCCATTGGCACAGAATCTTCCGTGCCACAGTCTTCGGCAAGAACCTGCATCTGCAACGTCTCTCAAGACCGTCCGCAGTGCACACACGTGTTCACTCAGCTTAGTCAGCTGCAACAACTGGCGAGGCAGTGAAATCCAACCGACGGTACAGGTAGCCGGAGTTAGCTGTTCTCAGGGCCGTGTCGATGACGCCCTGCATTTGCGCTGAAATGTTACAGCATCCACCTCAAAATTGTGCAAGCGTACCTTGCGAGCGCCATGGCCTGCCAGAACGCGCAAGCAGTTCCTGTTTGCATTGAAGGAGAGACTTTTATGTCCTGAGATCAGCATGTCCGTGACGGTCATTCCCTCACGCAGGCAGTGCTGAATAGGCACCTCGGGACAATACAATTACCTCCCTACTTGGTGCACTCTCTTATGACCAGTCAGCAATTGCTCTAAAGCCTGAATGACTTCCAAGTGAAAGCCACAACACGCAAAAACGGCATGTCTACGCTTCAAACGAGCGGCATCAATCAGTTGGCCTGAGATTACAAGGACTGCCGTAGGCCCGGTGGCGAGTTCTCTGTGGAGGAAGGTGTTGCGTCCAAGCATCCCTTTGCATCCGCCATTAAGCCGCGCATGGCCACGAGCTGTCTAACCTGAGAAATATTTCCTCGCGCGCCACTCGTGGACATCATGTGCACCTTGGGCGAGGAGGTGAATCGCGCCAAGCAAGCAATCACCCTGTACTGGTGCGTCTGATCCTGGACGCAACTTGGTCCAGGACAGGATTGTTGGGATCATTTTCCTGGTCTGCAGACAGCTTCGGAATCTCAACGGCATTTCATGGCATTTCGGGAAGCAGGACCAGCCAGCAAACGCCCCACGGATCCTTGAAGTTGGACACGGCTGCATCCTTCACTTTTTCGCTTGTCCGTGTCCACTCTTCAGTTACATTCAAGAACTTTTCAACCACCGTGATCTCGCCATTCCGGTACTTGGCCTTCCAATCCAGCGAAGCAGCGTGCTAGGTATTAAAGCTGAGACTTCCGGCCTCTGCCTGCAGCTGCCGTTGCTGTGAACCATCGCAAAGCGCGGCCTACAGGACCGAGGAGCCCAGGTTATTGCAATACAATTGAAGCAAAGGCCTTAGTTGCCGGAACGCTCATGTCCTCAGCAGCTCAAACAGTTCAGGCAAAGGCGGCTATTTTCTCATCTTGCAATATCAAGCGTCGTCCACGCCCAGGGAAATGCCAGCTCTGGTTGCCTGTCGATGACGCTGGTGGACGGCTCAACTTGTCACGCTGCAACCCTGCCAAGAGCCCCGCCCAGGAGAATCCTAATGTCTTCATGTTGTCAAGCATCTCCTTGGTCCCTTCTTCGCCTGATCTCGACGCTATGCACTCAATACGACTGCTAGATACTGCTGGTGTTGCAGGCGCTGCTGGTGCCTCGCTGCTCTAGGGTCCAGCTGATCACACGCTTCAGCTCCTGTCCGGCATGCAACAAACAATTCCACCTGCCACCAAATGAAGTTATCAAGCGCGCCTTCTTTCCCAAAGTTGCTTTCAGCAAATCTGGAAGTGCTGCTCTTTGAACATTCCCTAGCAGCTAGCAGTTACTAGCACATCAGAGAAGACTCAGAGCTGGCGCTTGCAGCGCGAATGATTCGTACATTCCCTACAAAACACTGCCTCGCCGTCGCCGGGCGGATCGGGCAATCAGGGTGCATCCGAAACCCAGCGCCGCTCCTGCAGGGTTGGTGCGAACTCAACCTTCACGGAGCAAATTTGTGGAATCATTAGTGCCCGCGAAAACGGACGCCCTTTGCACAACTTACGCAACTCAGCGCGTCACCACACTTCCAGATCACGGGGGACTGGAATCATCAGTGGGAAGCATCACTTGGCCGAAAAAGCTACATTTCTTCTTGCTTTAGCATGGGACGATGAGTGAAAAGCTGCAAACTTGAACATGCCGGACTGCGCACACGCTGCTTCGATTCGCTTGAAAAGAGAGATCAACGCTTTGACAAAAAGAGAAATATGTCCAAAATACAATGTCCAAAAAACCTGAGCAATACGAGCCAGGCAACGGTCCTGGCAGAGCACCAGGCCGCAGTCGAAACGCATCATGCTGCGCAGGCCGCGCTCTCGTTTCCACCTGCGGACATGCCTTGGGATGCAAGGACAAATATAAAAGCTGACCTTTCCCAAAGATCAAATGGCAAGAGACTCAGGCACCAGCGCAGGTGCAGGAAGAGCACAACCTCCCTGACCCCGGCCAGGCATTCCTGACTTACGCAACGACACCAACTTATTGAAGCTATGCTAGCCAACATCTTGACAAGACTCCAGCTCGTTGCCGAATGCTGTGATGTCATACCACCCGCAAGAAACGCAAACAGACTTTTGTCAAACCATGTCATGTCGGACAGGGCGCAAGGCTGCAGTAGCCTGTGTAGACACAGATGCAGGTGATGCCATCTACGTGCTGCGAGCACATGAAGAAATCTTCTGAAACCCGTCAGCTTTCTTGTGCGAAACTTGGCTCATACAGTTCAGCTGTAAAAATCGTTGTTGATTTTTGCATGGTCTACATGCGCTTGGGCCATCAACATCAATCAGGCGTAATCGTACCAGCAGCTTGTTTTGCAAGACACTTCCTCCCGGATGTCTGAGAAGGGGGCGACCCCTCCACAGGCGCCAACACGTCATCTGTTCCCGATAGCGTTCCCTGCTAAGCAAGGCTAGCTAGACCACTTATCCGCATCAAATCACGTGCTGCCTCTGGCAGATGTCCTGAAAGCTCCTTCAAGAAAGTCTCCCGAACTTCAGGACCTGGCGAACACCGTCACTCAATGTGAGGAAAGAGGAGGCTGTGCGTCGGATGCCCAGCCTCCTTTCTCCACAGCCTTCAAGGAACACAGGAAAATCATGTCGGCCAACACAACAACTGCTCGACCACTGCTGGACCTGGAGGACAAGCTCGTTAGCTCGCTGCTGAGCAGCTTCATCCCCTGTTGACCGGCCTGAGAGGAAATCTTTGCCAACCCAGAAAAGAGTTTGTAACAGTTTAGTGGATGGGCCCAGTCTTAGCCATTCTTAGCCCTGCGATGCTGTCCTTAAGCGATCTGGTTCCTTACACTGCACTTCGACAGCGGGAACTTGCCGTAGCAGGTCAGCAACGCTTCAACTCGCTTCGTTGGCGGTGAACTTAAGTCTACAGGGCAGAACGCTCGTTGCAATTCCTGCCTCTGCCTGTCCCACAGAATCCGAAAGGTGACACAGGATCCAAAGGTCGCGTGCTGCCAGTGTGTTCCCCCGCCCACATTGCTTTGGTGACAGAGGGGGAGCCATTCACCCATTCACTCCTGGTAGTTTTGCCCTCGGCTACCTGCTGCGCTCGCAAGTGCACCCAATAGTAGGATGTGCCATCTTGTCTTGCTGTGCGCGCGTCGCTTGCCTGAAGTCGTTTTTGAAATTGGCAGCTGCAGAAGTAAAGTCAAAAAACTCACCAGCACGATTCTTCTGGCGGGAACATGCCGCACCAGTGCAGTCCCCACACCAAAATCGGCACGGCACTTTTTTGCGGTTGGGGAAGAGCCTGTTAGGCGAGGGGTCCTCAGACTTGATGCATGGCCTCCACGGCCTCCGGCGTAAATACTGGTTGTTACACATCCCAAGCCCTCCATGCACAGACTCCGCGATGGCAAAGTTCTAGGCCCCGCAACCGCACCGAAGTCGGCCCTCGGCAGCTTTGTTATGCTCCATTGGTGATGGCACTTCGAAGACCACGCAAAAAAAAGCGGGGTCGGGCTTCCGGAGCCTCGAAAACCATGGGATCGGACCTGCGTGGCATTGAAAACAACGCAAGACACATGGGATCGGGCTTCTGGCGCTTCGAAAAGCACACAAAATGCGGACCCAGACATAGATGTTTTGTCGTACCGTTGTAGTGCTGCAAATGAGGCTTCAAGCTTTCGACCAACTGCCAGAAATCTGTCTCCACCCGCCGGACCCGAAAATCGTCGTTTTTGGGTGCAGCTGCAGTACAGGAAATGCGGTTTCCGGACATCCGGCTGGCGCCCGAGAATCGGTCCAGAGCCGGCCGGACTCGGAGATGACGCTTCCGGACGTCTGGCCAGTTCCCGGGAGTCCATCTGGAGCCGGCCGGACTCAAAAACCACGCAAGACATGTGGGATCAATGCCTCAAAAACCACGCAACTCCACGCAAAACACGGAACTTCGAAAACCGTGCAAAACAAGCGGGATCAGGTCTCTGGCAAACAAAACAAATTAATTACGTGGGATCGGGGCGTCTGGCGCTTCAAAAAACCACCTTCATTTTGGAGCGCTGGATGGGACTACCCTTCTGCCGCGGCAGTCATTCCGCTCCGCGTAGGGCTTTGAATTGTCCGGCTTTTACCTGTTCCAGGGCCACGGTTTCCGGCCTTGGTTGCGGAAAGAGTTGTTCGCTCCTACCGAGCATGCGTATGCAGTTGCTGAATTGCGTCATGACGTACTATGTTTTCAGGGACGACTACTGCAACACCTGTTTTCATTGCTGTCCGCCATCTGCCAGTGCTAGAAACTTTGCACTTGTTTGTTGATGGTTCTTTTTTCCCACAAGCCCGTTTTGAGCAATTGCTTGTTCAGCGAAGGGATGCGTGAGCTATCCTCAGTGATTGGTTCGGTAAACGGATGTAAATGCAAACGTGACAGCTTAGAGGATGACCTCAACTGCTCACCCGAAGTCACTCCGCCGCAAAATCTCAATTTGTCTTCAATCAGAATGGGTAGCGAACGCTCAAACCAGGCTAATGAGGCACTTGCTTAACGATCCCTTGCAGAGTTGCAGGTCCGCTTGGTGGAGAAGTGTGCAATCGTGAAACCCCAGCTAAACTCGTCAGCGATTCACAAGCGTCCCCTCTCCACTCTTTTCAAGCGTGAGGCTCCTCGTGGTGACGGACAACCGCCTCCGTACTCCGCGATTGGAGATTCCAAGAGGGGATGGGATGCAGGGTGATGGTGATTTGATGGCCTGGAACAAGCCCCTTTGTAGGCACGAACAAGCTCAACAAGCCAGTCGAAACACCCTCATGGGAAATCCCTCGTAAGATTCGAGGGGGGTCCAGTAGTATCTAGTAGTTGTTGTGGCTCGACCGCTGTTGGAGTTGCATTTCGCTGTCAGAACTTCTCGCTGCTCCCGTCCGCTTTTGCTCAGCTCGGCACTGAGCATTGTTAGCCGGTAGGCCTCCTGAAGCTCGGGCCTTGACAACACTTCCACCGACCCCGGCACCCCGGGTTCACAGCAACAGTGCCAGGATGTGCCAGGCAAAGCTGAGCAGGTGCGCGGCATGTTGCGAAGCGCAACCTCACTTCGTAGTTCTTGAATGGATGGAAAACACCAAGCTATGAATTAATAGTTGGGAGGCAGAAAAGTCATCCGCCGCCTGGTGAAGTGCAAGCGCATGCCAAGGATACATGAAGGAGATTGCACAACCGATTGGCCTCCTGTGCCGATCTCTCCTGCTGGGATGAGCTGGGCATTCATGATGCAAAGGTAATCATTCTGAAAGCGAAGCTACTTGAATGCAGGTTTCAGATCCTCAGGAACTTCTTGCGCGCCGTCCACTCCGTCAAAACCTATCTAGCAAAGCTGGTGGCAATCTTATGGACACAACCTGCATAGCCTTAGCTTACTGGAATTCAGAGCCAGACGGGAATAGTCCAAATTGTAGTTGCTCCTGCATTCACAAGCACAGCACGATATGCTCTCTCAGTGCCTGTGCCTCGCCTTTTTCCTGGCCCGCGCGGCATTGCTGCGAAGCAAAATGCTGTGAATCTACTGTCTGTAGCACGTCTACATGACTGTGCAGTGCTCGGCTAAGTGCTGAGCGCATGTTGGACGCAAAGGTTCTGAATGACAGACAAGTCGCTCAAGTTTTCTTGTGTTTTTTCTGCTAACACCATGCTCATTTCTGGCATCTGTGAATAACATCTTCTGCATCTGTGAGATGCTCTCATACAGCCGTTGCCAGGCGGAATATGCAAACAGGATCCAACAACAAGTATACAGCTGCTGCGGGACAAAGACTCCCCAACCTCTTTAGCCCGCCAGCCCCATCGAAGGCTTGCGAGCATAACCCATGGAGGTCTTTGGAGATCTTGTGGTTACGGACTTGGCAAGCACTCAGTACCGTGTAAGGTGCAGACCAAGGGGACGGCCATGGGGATATGGTCGAAGACCCTTGTGCGAAGTCAGCGTCATGTGGCACTTCGACGAACTTTGCCAAACGCAGAATGCTTGGATGAACCTCAGACGAAGCCCCGGAAGCGCTTGCGAACCCTAACCATCAGCAGACTTCTTTTGCTGAGCAAACCCTACACTGGCAGGCAGTAGGCATTTTTTGATACGTGTGAGACAAGGGCCCATGCCTTGGACGAAGTTCTGGGTCATTCCTCCCAAATCTGTCGGGTCGTCAGAGGCCTACGAATGGGTCACTGTTCGGGGGCGCTCTGTGGAGGGCCTGCATGCCATGTCCCCTCCTGTGCCCGATGCCAAGAGAAGTTTACACTGACTACCTGGTCGCTCGATGCCAAGTGAGCCTCAACCCTAGATAACATGGGGTCCATAATTGAAGCATCAAGCCCGAGCCCCAAGCTCCGCGAATGCTGGAACTTCACCACAACTCTCAAACTCCACGACCCCTAAAATCTTCAACCCAAACCCCAAACCCCACCATCTCCAAACCCCTCGAGCCTCGAAACACAACCCCAACATAATGCAGAATGTTTATTCCGAAAAATGTTTGTCTGAAGATAATATGTTGACACATTTGCTGGTAAGTATCCGCCGAGCTTCTAGATCGTGGGCATTTGTGGCAAAGACTCTACCTACACCCCTTTCCCCCGCCGCCAAGGAAGCCACCAACGCCAACCCGGTATGTGTGTAGTCGGGGTCCGGGAAGCTCCTCTTCACCCCCAGCCTTACCCCAGACCCCTCCCAAAACCTCTACGACAACCGGGCGGGACAAACAAAAAACAGAAGCAGCTGTTGAACTCTCAGAGAATGAAGGTTCCTCAGGTCTTAGGTGGTTCCTATGGCCTTCATCCTGCAGCGCCGATAGTATGATCTCATGGGTATATAGACACCCGAGTAGTGGCAAATGCTCTCGCCACTGGGCGAGCCCTGAGTTGAAGACGCCAGCATCAAATCTGAACCCCAAACCGAGAAATAGTTCACACCCTTTAAGGTTAGGGGTCAGGATTCAGGATTTACTTCTTGTTCCTAGGGCTTTAAGACAGCCAAACAGAATCGCTCTTTTCGACCAGACAGCTTTAAAGGCGACGCAGGCGAAGCAGTCCGCCGGATCCCACGAGAGGGTCCTGAAGAAAATGACAAGCTAAGAAGTCCCAAGGCGGCCTGCAATGCCCATTTGGATGTGTAGGGCATGGCTTTACTGTTGTCGTGGTGAGTGTGTCTGGGTGCTCCTGCTGAGCCGACACGAGTAGCTTGGGATGTCCTTTTGATGGTGCCAAGACACAACAATCTAATGAACATTTCCAGGGTAAGGATTTTCAGTACTGAGCGTTGGGGCGTGAGGTCCTGCGAGGATAAGGGCTACGGCTATGAGAACAAGCTGAAGGCGCGATTTAGGTGCAATGGTGACTGTACTGACCACGAATTGAACAACAGTGAAACCAGAATCCCCCGCCCAAAAACGAGACCCAAACTCCGAATCCTGAACACCTACGCTTCGAATCATCGACGCCAAAGCCGAAAGCATAACACTCTAAACTATCGACAGCACTCAAGTACTTATCATATGCCAGTGCTCGTTCCTACAAACTCCAAAAGCCTCAATGTACAAAAATAGTCCAAGCAGGCTCTACGAACCCAAACCCTACAGGAGGAAGGTTGCACCGTCCCGAAAGAGGATGACAACCGTGTCTGCGCACTGCTTCAGCGCATCTCCCCACGCAGCAGGAGTTTGGGCGTTGTGACAGGCATTGCCTTCGTGCGACTGGCTCAGAAATTCGCATGTAGTACAAAATTCTCTGCACCACGAGCACCCGCCTTGTGCGCACACTCATGAGGAAATACCAGCAGCCTTCCACGAACGGGACTCACCTGAAATGCGGGACGCCTCCTGAATGTCGTGATGCCCTACCCTAGATTCCCCGTAAGCCTCCCACATCAGCAAGCACCCCGCCCGAAAGGCTCTGAAGCAGAACTGTCTCGCCGCCGCCCTCATCCGCAACCCCTTGCAGGTACAAAATGAAAGTGTGGCTGGTTCGCTGCCCCGTCCGCCAGTCGCGCCTGGGACAAAGTGGAAGGATCCGCGAGGTCACGAGTGAAAATGAAAGACATCAGGACACTTCAGCAAAGGGACCTCGCCTTGCAAGATCCGTGTGCGGCGGCAAATAGCCCCCAACCCTGGAATAGTGCAGAAAGCGCATCTGCGGAACAGCCTCTTTGCAAGTACAGAGCTCGGCGGGCTGCGCAAGTGCTGCGACAAGCTGTGAAGTCGCAAGGCCCTCAGCGTCAAAGTAATAGCTTCGCTGCGGAGCAGAGTCTTGCCGACTCCGATCCACTCCTCGGCCTCGCCTTTTCGAGCGCTGAGACTCCTCGCAGACTGCACAGCTGTCCAGAAAATGTTCACTTGATGCCTGGCCTCTTGTGCATCGTCCTGATCAGTGCTGCAAATGCACAGAGGTACTAAGCCCACACAGACCGTGTAAGGCTGAAACCTCCACGTCAGCATGCGCAAATGGCGCTGGTGGAAGGGATGTCCAGAGTTCCTTTCCATACAGACTTCTGATGACTGCCGTGGCGCGCAGTCAGCTCTGGTCACAACTTGTCCTCAAGCCATGTCAAAAACGCTTCACTAAACGCCCCGTCTACCTGACAGCAATTCTGTCTTCAGTGATGCCCAGGCCATGCACTGCGTTCTTTAGGCTTTAGGGCCCTTACGTAAGCGGCTCCAAGGCTTGCCAGGTGTTCTGGCAGCGGCAGTCTGACAGTGTGGACAGCAAGCCTGAGCCTCGCAGCTCGAGAAGATTCGAGAGGTGTGGTATGGCATGTATGGCATCCATGTCTTGCCCAACTCAATGCTGGCATAACCTGCCTCCGCAACATTGGCGGTCGGCACCCGACCTGTCCCATTGCACCCACTGGGCACAAGTTTGCGAGGACTCAATACAGTGCGGAGCCTGTGTGAGCGTACCCTCATCAGCCAGATACTTTGCCACTTCAGAGTGTCCCCGTGCTGCTGCTGCATTCATGGCTAGGCATCCGCCGTAGCACGGCTTTACAGGATCGGCGCCCCAGGCATGAAGCAACTGCAGGGACAGTTAAATCAAACTGCAACACTGATTCTGGGTACCGTGCCTTGACCACCTGAAGGTGCCCCTCAAATGCTGCAAGGAAAAGGGGCGTCTGGCCATACTCGTTGCAAGAATCAACGTCAACTCCAGCATCCAGCAAGGCCATGACCCTCCTGGAATCTCCAACTTCAGCTGCAGCTCGGAAGCGTTCAGAGCGGTTTTGCTGTGTGATCCCAAGCCGCTCGCGTGCCACCTCTGCCGGGCCCAGCGCGCGGAAGGCGCCGGCTAAGCGCTTCGCCTGCTTCGGCTTCGCCGCAGCATCCGTGTTCGCAGCGCTGGTTACAGTCAATGTGTGAGACCCCGAACGGGCTGCAAGTCCGAGCAATCGAAACATGGGAAAACTAAAGCAGGCTTCCGAACACAGGAAGTCTGAGCCTGGAAGCCGGCTCTCCAGGGCAGCTTGTAGAGCCAAGCGTTCTTCCACGTCTTGCGGAACTTTGTTAGGCAACGTCTGCCACTTTAGAAAGGTCTGCCTTCGCCGCCAGGCTCTCAACCAAGGCGTTCTGAGCCAACTTGGAAGGATAGACACGACACGTGAGAATTCTTTCGATTCCCGTTGGTTGGCCGCACAAGGAGAGTAGCCAATGCTGAAGTTGCAATTGATGCAGCGGCACCATTCCTTGGGATTGAGGCAACCGCAGACATTGCAGATCCATCCGGGATCGCTAGCAGGGAGCGGGCCGTAGCGCAGGATGCCTTTGCGCTTCTCGGAGAAGCTTGTGATCGTATCCTCTTGGAAAGCAGAAACGCAGAGCGGGCAAAGCAGTTCAGGCAGCTCCCCGAAACCAAAATCCCCAAAGGATCGCCAAGGGCATCGTTCACAGCATCCATGTCCACACGGGGCAAAGATCACTTGCGCCTTCTCTCCACATGCGCAGACAGCATGGTCTACTAGGCATTTGCCTCTTCGTCTCAAGTGCGCGGCGGCCCGAGCCAGCCAAGCCACGTATGCTTTTGGCAGTCGCTCAAATGTAGCGAGGTCGAGCACACCCAGGGCTGGATTGGCTCCAGCAGCTACGAGAGCTGAAACAAAACTATCACGGCCTCGCCAAGCTGCGAAGTCGAGTAGGGAGATCCGATCAACGCAGCAACACCATGGGGCTTTGTGCTCTTCGTTTAGCTCCAAAGAGGCCAGATTGGCAACTCCGAATCGCTGGACCTCGCCTTTGTCGATGCACGTTATCAGCACGTCTGCCTCCTCAGACTTGATCCGCCTCTTGCAACACAGCCGCAAGCCGACCAAGCTTCAAACCCTCACCCTAACAGATGCCAAACCTGCAAAGGAACCAAGAGCCAAAGAAAAACAAGAAGCTATCGTTAGTTAGGGCAAGCAGCAACAAGGCAGCAAGGCACTGTTAAACCTAGAAAAACGGGGATCTGCCAAGAACACCAGCATCGGAAGAGAGAAATTGCGCATCAAGAGTGTAGCAGACAGAATCAAAGAGCCAAAAACATCAAATAAACAGAAGGAAACAGCTGCCTGCGCTCCACTGCGCCACTCTGCAGGAGTTGTTTGGCTCTTCGAGCTTCTTGGCGACGCTTCTGCTCACGACCCATCAAAGATCTGGACAGCACTGAAGCCAAAAACCATGACCCCGATTTCGGCCTGCAGAGCGCACAGCCCAAATCCTTGAGACCATTTGCCAGGCTGACGAACTAGTGTTTACTTCTTGCGTATCAGCTGCTTGCACTCCTGTTGCATGATCTCCCTCATGCTACGCACAACATGGCCCAATAAATTCTTTTCCGCGCAAGCGCCTGTACAATGTGGCATGCGCAGTTGGATCAGCTGAAGCTAACATCAAGCGTCATCAGCCTGCCAAGGGTGGCAACACATCATGAGAGCTGAGGTAAAGCTTCCAGCACCTGCAGCTTGCTCACAAGCAGGTACCTTCATTGACAGTGTCTCAGCGCACCCAAGCAGTGATGCGAGTTTTAGGCCCCCACCCACGCGGCTTCCCCGTAGCTCGGTTCAGGCTGCCTCGTGCTCTCATGTTCTGCTGTTGTTCTGTTTGCTGAGGACTGGGGTGTCTCTGAGCGACTTGCACATGGACTGCGTCAGCGTCTCAATCTTGACCTCAGCTTGCAGGGGTTTGCCATGCTCTGCTAGGCTCTGCCGTGCTGGTTGCTTTCAAGGCTGGGTCATGTGCCCAGTGTGGGGGCAATCGTGTGTCGTTGGTGTCAAGGATCAGAACATGGCCAGCGCTTTCCCAGCCTGATTTCGTGCTTCCTCTTCTGAGTTCACGAGTGCACGAAAGGTCTCGGAGGCCAGTGCCACCAAGTGGGCTCCAGTGACCACCACCCAAGCGCGTGTAATTCACCTTGTCAGTCAGGTAAGATGTTGAACAAGTCATTGGCACTTGCGCGTTCTAAGCATTGCACTAAGATGCAGCTTTGCTCACCTGCAGGGTCAAGACCTACTACAGCCGATCAAACTGGTTGCGAACGGACACCTCGGTCGAAAGAAGCTGCAAGGTCTTGCTGGAGCTGACGGGAGATTTCCGCCTGGCAAGATGATTTTTTCTCAGACTACGACTGCTATGGCTGAGATGAAGCCCTGGGAAATGACCTCGTCCAATAGAAAGTGCTGCAAAAGCTGATGTTCTTTCTCAGCCGCTGCTATGCCCCATGTTGAAGGTCAGGGCAGTTCTGCCGTTGCTTCTTCGCTAAGCACGCTTCGCTACGTCACGCTGGCCTTGCAGCCTGTACTGGTAGCATTCTGCACCTACTCCCTGGAAAGTTGTCGGCCTGTACATCTGGCACGTTTTCTTGTGTCACGCTTGGCAACACTCATGTTTGGCCACACAAGTCTGTTAGCCCGATCACGATAAGGGACCATCTCGCCAACAGTTCCCACACGAGGTTCTGGCAAAGTCCTTGATTGTCAGTTCGCCTTCAGCTTGACCATCATCTTGGGGTCCGCGGCAATCGGGGAACAGCTATGTCACGGACAGATGCCAGAATCGTCTTGTGCACAAGATGGAGATGATGACGCCTGGGATCTGAAATCAAGGCAGACCAAGACATTCGAAAGCGTCACACAACTCCCATGGGCTGAAGGCAGCAAGCAGCCGACTGAGCCAGCAGCAAGGGCAACAGCAGTGGCAGCGCATGGTTGGGATTCCGCATGGAAGACTTTCATTCACGCTCAGTAAATTGTCATACTGTAGCTGTTGAAAACGCGTTGCGGACTGTACCTCTCCTGAAGGAGACTATCACTGTGAAGCGCATTGCACCCCAAAGCAGCATGAGCGAAAGGGGACCGATGGGGTTTTACAAGCATGCAGGGATTTTCAGGGATTCGTTGCGCTCTCGCCAGGAGAATTTAAGGGGCCAATGCCTGAAAGGATGCCGTTCACAAAGCATGGTGGAGACAGTGAGATGACGTGCGGTTGCTTGCTCCTGGTAGGGTGGTGAGGAAGATGCAGGAGCGGATGGAATCTGCCACACGCTGTCATCATGCGAGGCAGGCAAGTGTAGCTGTTGAAACAAGGTGCTCTCCAAAGCCATCATGAGGACAAGGGGTCCAGGAGGGTATTCCCTTTGCAGAATGATTCAAGTTTATTTTTTTGTGATGAAGAGTCCACCTTATGAATGGGCCTGTGTTGCTCGCGTGCAAGTTTTTGCATACAATGACAGCCCATTGATCCCAGCAGTCGCTACTGTAGAGACGATGCGGGCCAAGGTCAGCAAGTTTGGGTCTTGCAGGGGTTTTGACAGCTTACAATGAAGAAAATTGTTGCGCCGTCACAAGCATATGCCCAACGCAATTTAACCAATCAACCCTAGAGACTCGCGAGGAGCAAATGGCCGAAAAGAAGCCACGCCGAAGGAGAATGACTGGGGATTGCTGGCACAAGAACCTGCTGCGCACAGCCGTCGTGGTCATGAATCACGAAATCCGTTGAACACCGAGTCCGAACTGTCCGAACGGGCCTAGCGAAGAAGACAAGCCGCCGGATTGCTTCCGAAGCTTGCTTTTAGCATCCTTTCGCTTTTGGTTTGCGCCTGTAGTCCTGGAAGTGTTGGACGGAGACGCTTCAAATCCCACATGAAGCGATGTGAAGCCAGTAGAATTTGCAAATAAAGTAGAATATGTGCAAATGTGACAGAAGGTGGGAATACGAACTTGATCCATCGCCTTTTCTGACACATTCCTCCACCGTTCCGACGCACTCGTTCTTAGCCAATGCTGTTCAGGCACTTTGTAGTCTGGAAAGGAAACTGCAACAAAGTGTGAACAAGTATAGTGCGACAACGCTAAATGCATGCCTTGTCTCAGTTCCTTCACGAGTTTTGGCGTCTCTCAAGTTTGCACACTTTTCAGGCTGGTCGCGAATGGTCTCTCATTTTCCCTTTCACCCTTTGATGCCGTTTGAGTTTCAAACTGGCCTCAGTGGAGATCTATGTTGAGAGCATGCAGACCCGCTAATCTGAAAGCTCAGGCACGCAGGCGGCATCCGCCATCCACGCTGCCTGTGCGGTCCTCGGAATCCCGCAGCCAGCCATTGCTGATCTCATAGCAACATATAGCAACCTCATAATTGAACAAAAAGAGCCCTCACTGTAAGACATGCTGCCGATCGTTGTGTGCTTTGCAGGAAGCTGCTGGCTTCCACTGCCTCACAAGGCTACCATCATGATTCACAAGTTTTGCGTTAAGGCCTCCCAGCCTGGTGCAAGCAGACGTCTGACATTTGGAAGACTTCTGGGCTTGCACTCCAGAGTCGCAGGTCCAAATCTACGTCGACAGGTACATCCTGAAGCTGCACCCAGTTGGCGAGGAATTCCTGAGGGGCTCCACCGTGATCAAGCCACAGCAGCTTTGGGCTAAGCTGGATTGTTGCGCCATCCGGTAGCTTGAAGTCACCGCCCTCAACCCAAATGATTCGCGATGCAATCTCCGTGTCCTGGAAATGGAAATCACAAGAGCTTAGGCAGGTGGTGAGGCCAGCGGCCAGCTGGCTTCAGGGATGCTGAAGGGTGGCAAGCAGGATGCAGCAGCTTGCCGGATTCTGTTTCTTTGAGCCCAAAGCTACCTTGCACTGACCCGGCTCTGGGAACCGTGCATGGTGAGCATCTCTCTGCTACGCAAGACACATCCTTTTCCGACCCTGGAGCGAGACCTGAAATTATGATCCCATCCTGGTGCCTCAGGCAAAGCCCCTAGCCTCATCGAAACCTCTAACTTGTTGGACACTGGCTCCCATATGCTTTGGGCTCGTTGTGGTGATAAAGCACTCTACTTGTTCGACGGTCAAGCTTGTCCTGAAAATACTCAGGCTTCCCGAAATGAACTGTCGCTCCATACAGCTGTGCAAAGTCGCTCGCCGA